ACCGCGGCATGTTTATGTACGTAAATACTATAATCAACTGTCCAAAAACTAGCTTTACTAAATTCAGAGAATTTTTTCGGCGCTGGCTATTAACTCTAACCAATTATTTTAAAAAACTGACCTAACTTTTGACATCCAAAACCTGACCATTATTCCAAAGTATATCAACTTCACCCGGGCCCTTGAACTATTAATGGAATATTGATGCTTGCTAAGGAAAACAAGGTTCGACTTCTATGGGTTCCTAGCCACTCAAGGATAGAGGCCCATGAAAAATCAGATGAGCTGGTGAGAGCTGGAGTTGCAACGCCATTTATAGGTCCCAGGCCCAGTTTTGGAATATCAATCCAAATGGTAAAGTCAACATTGGATGAATGGTCAAAAAGGCTGTGTATAATAGGAAATCCTTTAACGAAATTGTCAACTGACGTGATACGACTTACACGCACAAAGATGAGACAGGACACTGTCACTTGAGGAAGCATCAGCAAAGGACGAGGATATTCAATGAACCAACTGAATGCAGACTATATGGAGAGGAAACAGCTTCCTACATCATATGACTGTGTGGCCCTATCACACAAGAGATACACTCTTCGGAGCATTACAGCCGGGGATAGACTATCGCCTGAAAATCTTGTCAAACGGCTATTAGGCCTGATACAGGAAATAGGACTCTTGTAGGACAAGAAGGAAATTGGGGTGCACGATAATCCAACTGCAGACGACAGAACGCCACAGCACTTAGATCCCGTCTATAACCAACCAACCATGGATGCATTGATTGGGAATGAATTGGAAATGTTCTACTACATAACTTGACCCTAGAAGAATTATTTGGAATTGAATGAAGGGAAAAATCTCTCGATATTTATAGGAGTCTTGATGCAGAAACATACAATCAACGACGTAGCTATAGCTTTTACATGGGTGGGGGGGTTTAGAGCAGTGGCAGCTCGTGGTCTATGCTGGAAGAGGTTTCAATTTTAGATCAGACAATGTATAGGTAACCTGGCGTAACATATAGCTCGAGATGTCGGTTTTCGGGTGCCACGCCCAAAAGCGTTTATTTTTCTTCAAAAAAATAATTTATTCAGTTCATAGTAATTTTAACAGGAACACTCCCATACCAGATTTATAATGGTAAATATCTCTTTTCTCGTGCTAGGAGCTTTGGTCATACTGATTTAATCGGAATCGGTATAAATGGAATCAAGACCAGGGTGTATCAGATTTTCCGAATATTTATAACAATGACTAAGGTGAAGAAGAAGTCTAATGAGAAACTAATGCAGATGGCACACAAGAAAAAGATGTTGGAAATGGAGAAGACTTTGGAGTTGGAGCACCAAATCAAGGTGTTCCAATAAAGCCGCCGATAAGACCTCTTCTCCGACGATGCACAAACGCCCAGTTCTGGAAGAACATTTCCATACCAGATTCATAATGAATGGTAAATATCTCTTTTCTCATGCTAGAAGCTATGGTCACACTAATTTAATGGGAATCGGTATAAATGGAATCAAGACCAGGGTGTATCAGATTTTCCGAATATTTATAACAATGACTAAGGTGAAGAAGTCTAATGAGAGACCAATGCAGATGGCACACAAGAAAAAGATGTCGGAAGTGGAGGAGACTTTGGAGTTGGAGCGCCAAATCAAGTTGTTCCAATAAAGCCGCCAATAAGACCTCTTCTCCGACGATGCACAAACGCCCAGAAAGCGCAGGCATTTACAGTAAGACGGTGGACAAAGAGTGACGGATCTGGGTGCTTCGGAAATAGAGATGAACCAGAAGATGTAGCCCCCAAAAAGCTCCCAAAGTTACTGCTCAAGGTGGCAAGAGGTCGAAGAGGATCAGATTCAACCACACCCATGTAATTGGCAAGAATACCAAGATATGTCCCAACACCACAGAAGACAATAATGCTACAGATTTCCAGGCATTTGGAAGTACACCAATGCCACTTGGCATTTGCAAGCTGATAGGACCAATAGTAGGACACATTGCACAGGCTAGTATCCTCAGGTGATATAGGTCATTTAAAATACCGAAAGCCTATCTTTTTTTAACAGGCGAGAGATGCAAAAACGAAGACTGTTGGTGTCACTGGGAAGGCCGGTGGAAGTTCTATAAAGAAGAGGGCCATAGAGCCTGTCGTTGTTCAAGAAGATCGGAGAATCAGAATCCAGTAGAGAAGCTCCATCGCTGGGAATCAACAGCAGACTCAACCTAAAATAGAGAGACCCTTCATTTTTATTTCAATTTCAGATAATATCTTCATAGAACTTCAAGCTCCAAGATGCAGGAGTATCATTTACGTTAAATGATAGGTTTCGAAAGTGGTGGTCTCTTTCTCTAAAAATGGAGAAAATGAAGAAGTTTATCATTGCTTTCTAGTAGGGATCGGTAGATTTTATGGGCGAATTCTAGCAGTTGTGATGAAGTTGGTTGCTTAAGACTTTATCGGTTGAACCAAATTTCACACTTGTCATTTTCATATTTTCTTTATGGGTTCTACTAGGGCACTTAAAAGCAACCAAACTCACCCTGTAACTTCCTTGTACTGAGTAACCCAAATGAGCAATTCTTTAAGTAAACTGACTAAACAATTTAGACTCAAAAGTCATTCGTTTGGGTAGGCTGAACCTGATCAGGTTATGTCAACTGGGGTATTCCTATAGCCATTCAATTCAAGCAGGTTGGCTGTTAACTAACAAATACTTAACTAGCGCCTAATCTAGCAACCCTAACACTATAACAATCTTTTTCGCAAGAGGCTTATAGATCAGAGAAACAACGTTCAAAATCACACTTTGGATTGTAAAATAAAGGTTTCAGGCAAAGACTTTAATCCTGATTTCTCTGAGCTACTGTCAAGCCCTAGCAAATTGATTAGAGTGATCACTATTTCAGAATGAGTATTGTTCTGTTAATTATTATCTAATATTCAGGTGCGAAGAGGAGGTTTTTATATTTCGAAGGATGCAGATTCAAAATCAAATCCACATTTCAATTTAAACTAAACCATCCTCAGAACAATCGAAGCCAAAATCTCGGTGAGAGTTAAATTTAAACTTAAAGTTTTGAAGCGAGTTCACTGACTCATTATACGATTTGTGTATCTAAGAATGGTTCGATGACTGCCTACTTGAGGGATTATTCACAGATAAATATTTACAAGTAACATTGTTTTTAAATCATAAATGAACCACAGGGAGTGGTATCTTTGTTATAAAAAAAAACAGTGGAGGCTACAATATTATTAAAAAATAATTGGTGAAGCTAAAAACACGGCACAGAACAAAAACATTTGTGGCTCTAACCATTTTCACCCATCACGTATCCCTAAAAGCGTCCGTTTTCAAAAAGCTTTTAACAAGCGTTTTTAAAAAGGCCCCTAAAACATATCTTCCAAATATACAGAGGGCACTACTGTTTGTATCTAAATTTTTGTCTAGGTGTTGCTTATAGGTGTTTTTACCCCACATTACAACTGGCCTAGTCATAAGGGCGCTGCTTCGCACTGTCTGAACCTCTGAAGGTCGCCAAAGCCACCCAACACAAAGTCAAAACGTACCCCTTGTCTCGTTCTGAAGAATAATATCAAAAATAAAGTCAAAGGTTCAAACTGCTTTGTGTTACTCGTAAAGATAGGGACAACATTTATTAAAATCTTAAATAAACAAATCATACGACAAACATAAAATATATAAAGCGAGGGAATAAAAAAGCACAAACAAAACAATAAGTAAAATAAATGTAGGTTTATAACTAGCTCTTAATGAGATAAAAATGAATATGAACAAGGCTGTCCGTTACCTACCTATCATAAGAATACTCTACACATATTTGATAAAAAATCACTACACAATGTCTAAAAAAATGTTTTATTTAAATTCTAATGAAAATACGAAAAAATCTGAACAAGCAAACCTAAATCAATTTGTAATGTGATTTAAATGTAGGTCTAAGTCTATGATTATTATCAAATATTTAAATATAAAGTGTTACTGAATAAAAAAAAAAATTGGGTAAGATCCATAAATGTGGAAAGCCAAAAGTGGTCAAACAATTTCATTATTGAACAGGCATGCTTGAGATAGCAACATAATTGAAGATGAAACTTTTCAACGCCAATTATCACAAAATGGCCTTATTCGCGCTTTGGAAAAGAAAGGACATTTTACTATATAAAATTTTGTAGTACCTAGGTACCAAAATATTTCTATCTCAAGCTCCTCTTGGATATAAAAACTGATAAAGAAATTAAATGTTTAAAGACCGAAAATAGGAAATATAAATGGCTCTTGCTATATTTACGATAGTCGGATACTTAGAATGTGATTCACCTATGAAACAGTGCACATTGATCATGAAATATTTCTAGGCTTCCCAAAAAATTCAACTTGACGATCTCGATAATTTGAAAGCTACAAATTTTTGTGTAGACAATCGAATTATCTATGAAAGGGATGAACTGGGATTTAATGAGAACTTCTCATCGGTGTATTCGATTGTCGTAGATACAGCGCAAGCATGGAATCCCACTTTCGCAGACAAAGTAGTCTTTATTGCAACGGTGCTCAAAAACAGGGTATGAAACAAGATGCGGTTGACCAAAAATTAAAAAAAAAAAGGGAATTGAACTTTTATGGAAATATCGAAATATTGCTGTGCAGAAAAAAATTTCATTACATTATACTTGTAAATCGATCTTTTTGGTATCTAGGAGTGAACAAGCTAATGAAGGACTTTTTAATCATTTTTGAAAAAATTGCAGGGGTAAATTTTAAGCTAAGCAAAGTATATGTATGTATTTTGATCTTATTGCCAATAGTTAAGCTAATTTCGGTCTACATAGGGATTAAACTAGTGAAAATTTGTAGACAAAACACAAACATAATTTAAACCAACACCAGTCTAAAGAAACTGAACACAAAAAAATTTAAAACTAACCCAAAAAATGTCATCATCGGATCAAATTTAAGACTTACTGAAACGCCGCATGAAGTTTCCGGTAAACGAGGGTTGCGGACTCGTCAGAATATCTTCCTTATCTCTTAGATCTTTCAGGCTCTGTCCTTCGCCCTTCAAAAATTTGATATTCGGCACCGACAACAATCTTTCGCCTTCTTTTCTGGGCTGTTGCTGTTTCTTTTTAACGCCTCTCGGAGGTCTCATTGGCGAACCTTCTTCGTCTAACAATTCTAAATTATCCGGACGTATAGCGTAGCTCATTTTTCTGCTTCCGGGCTGATCCGGACTGAGTTCGGCTTCGAAATTTTCGTCTAAGTCCAATGGCGACATTTGACCGGAAGATAGTTCGCTGTGATTGCAGGATTCGGGACTTTTGACACGAATAAACTGATCGACCTAATAATGGGTGAGTTACTAGAGTGAAACTATGGAAATTGCCTCACTATGAGTCGTATTTTCTGTTCAAGAATTTAGGTTGAGAGTTATTGTTTCAAAGCTAACTTTTGGAAAACTATATCAGCATCAAAACTAATATGAAGTTATTGCAGTGAACTCATTTACTAAATTACTGTAAAGGTTCAGCCATTAGATAGGTACCTACCTACCACCTTAGATGATATTGTGCTAGAGGCAGCAGACATATAGATTGTGATGATATGATCACCTATTTTATACTTCCTGATTTTTTAGATGAATTAAATACTTACTTAGTACCGAAATTTTCCTTGTTGGAACCTACCTAATTTCAATTGAAATCAATTCCAACCTAAAAAGGTGTTATTTTAAAATCACTAATTATAAATAGGAACAGAGATAACAATATCGCAAAATAGCCAGGACTAAATATCTTATCAAAAACTATTGAAAATTAAATTTCTTGACAAAACCAGATGGTTATATCTATATACTGGAGGTCTCAGCAGAGTGGACAACTGTATCTCAGCTCCCGCACACAGACGCATACGGTTCATTTATAAGGAAAGACCTCAATACATGCATCCAGTACATCATAGTACACACCACTAAAACTTCATTAAGATCTATGCGCCTTCTCGAAAAATAGCGAAACCAAGGATAGCTCAAAACAGATCCAAGCAAAGGTGTCGAGAAATCAATGCCGCCTGCGAATGGGAACACGACGGTGGGGAATGCACCAACGCAAACTGTTATTATTAAGATTTTTGTAATGTTTAATAAATAAACATGATCTACTTTTGTTTGGCACGTTGGTTCTAATTTTTTACTTGTTTTTTTTTTTTGTCAGAAGACAGTATTCATAACGCCAATAATATTAATTGTTGTTTTTCATATTTTATATTTTAGTTTTTCCGTTTTTCCACAATTGAAAGCCACCGAAGTTTACATAAAAGGGCTTTGGGACGGGTTTGTCCCTTGGAAAACTATTGTGAAAAACTGAAAAGGTCTGTAGTAGGTACGTGTGGCAACGAGTGCAACACGAAAACTGCGAAAACGTTTGTCGTTTATTGTGAGTTCCAGTTGAGACAATACAATGGCTGATAAAGTTGAAATTTCCAGCAATTCAAGCGTCAATAAGTTTGATGGAACCGGAACCAATGGAAATTTTAGATGAAATGTGCTTTTAACGCTAAAGGTATTTACGGGGTAATAGATGGGACTCTGCCCAGGCCCAACAATTCCCAAACTGATGACATGGTATAAGAAAGATGCTCAAGCTATGTTTGAAATAACTACAGCCATGAATGTTGATCAAATAACATTGATAGGAATTCACAACTTTCTATCATGAATGAAAAAAAAAAAGATGTTATGTCTACGTTGGAGTCAATTTTTGCACTGAAGTCAGAGTCAAATAAGATGATACTTCGCGAGCATTTTCACCAATATAAGATGGCCACAAATGATACTATAGCACAGCAAGTTTCATGTCTTGAAGATACAGAATCTTGCGAAACAAATAAAAGATGCAGGTGACGACAAAAGTAATATGGCAGTAATCATGAAAATATTGAGTACCTTGCTTATTAAGTATTGGAACGTACGGCAGGCATAGTTGTCGCATTAGACCCCGCCAAACAGACAATTGATAATTTAAAGGCTCGACTTTTGAGTGAAGAGAGTAATCTCCAGAATTACGAAGAAACCGAACAAGCTTTTGCAGCAATGTTCTTCAATAAGACAAAGCAAGAAAATGAGAAGCCGAGAGGTCATTTATGTTATAATTATAAAAAGATAGGCTATATCTCAAAATACTGTAAAAAAAAGAAAAAGAAGCAAGATGAAAACCCCAGAAAACGAAAAAATCCCAAAAATTAAAAAAACGAGACAGCGTTCAATGTTGAAGTTGAAGCAAATAGTGTTATTTTTGAGAATAAAACAGTGGTGCATCTACTCATATTATGTCATATAGGCTAGACTTTTTTCAAACGTTAGATAGTAACTTTCAGTCAAGAGTGACACTTGGAAACGACCAACACCTGTCGGTAGAAGGAAAGTGTACGATAAAAACAAAAAAGCTGACATATGTTAAGTGATATGGTACAACAATTAACAATGTATTATACATACCACAGCTTCGCAAGAATATGTTTTCTGAGGGTGTGTTTACAGATAGGAAAAGGAAAGTTATTAAATTTAAGAAAAAAAGAGGCAAAGGTTTTTGAAGGCTCGAACCTTGTAGCAACCGTTAAAGAAGACTCCAGCAATACCTATAAAATGCTATTCAAAACCATGATCTGAAATTTAACAGTTTCTGACTATTTGGCATTCTGGCATGATCGCTGTGTCCATGTTGATGTGAAATATCTCAAGGAAATGGTCAAGAAGGAGTTGGTTGCAGGTGTAAAGTTCAGTGATGTTGAGAACTTTTTCTGCGAGTGTTACTTAATGGGTAAGTAGCATAAACTGCCCTTTAAGAAGAATCAAGAACACGTGAAACTAGAGAGCATGAGGTAACCGCATCGTATACCCCTCAACAAAACGGTCGCGCGGAAAGAGACAATCGGACAATTGTTGAGAGTGCACGGTCCATGTTGAGACTTTTCAATCCCATAACAAGATAAAGTTATTATTTCAAGAAATCTGGTGTTTATTGAAAAAAAGCAAAGTGGTTTGAAGCCAAACAGAGTGAAAATAGAACTCGATAATGATGACGTCACTAATTTTGGCGAAGTGGAAGTTGGAAATCAGGTTGAACAAGAAGCGAGACAAGAAGTGGAAGAAGCGAATTATGAGCATGTTGGAGAGAACGGTGAAATGCCAGATTTTAGATCCCAGAGAAATGTTCGCATGCCTGCCAGATTTAATGATTTTCACTTGAACTTTGTAGAAATTGACATTCCAGACACTTATCATGATGCTATGAGAAGTAAAGAAAATGACAAATGGAAAGAATCGATTAATGAAGAGTATGAGGCTTTGTTTCAGAACAATAGTAAAAACTCCGGAAAATAAGAAACCTATAGAGTCGAGGTGGGTTTTTCGAGTTAAAAGAAGTTAAGACGGCACAATCTCGAAATACAAGGCAAGACTATGTGCTAAAGGATATGCACCAGAAGAAGGGCATAGATTATAATGAGATTTATGCTCCAACAACAAGATTCGATTCAATATGTGTTGCTTGCCATTGCAAAAATGAAAGATTATGAATTTAAGCAGTTCGATAAGAAAACTGCCTTCTTATATGAAGAACTCGAAGAAAATACCCACCACTCGAATTGGACTGCAAAGAAGGTTTTGTTTCCAAGCTAGAAAAGTCATTGTATGGCTTGAAACAAAGCCCAAGATGTTGGGATAATAAATTCAGCACTTTTCTACTAAACTTTAGTTTTGAAGCTTCGACAGCAGACAAATGTGTCTACACAGGGTACGTCAAAGATATAAAAGTCATGCTTGTGATATACGTAGATGATGGGTTTGATATTCTCAACTCAAACATCAGGGATTGATAAAGTTGACTTGATGAAAGATGAATTAAATAATTGTTTTGAGGTAAAAATTGCACAAGGAGCAAATTATTTCATTGGTATTGAAAAACAAGGCAAGAGGTTCTTAGAGCAGTCAAGCTATATAAAAGATATAATAAGACGATTTGCAATGGAAGATGCAAACCCAGTGAGCATGCCAGAGGATCAGAATACAAACTTAGCAGTGATGGAAGACTCCAAACTGGTAGATGGTGAAGTTCCATACAGACAAGCAGTGGGCTATCTGATATTTCTGGCTACTGTTACAAGGCCATATATTTTCCATGCGGTGGAATTGGCGAACAGATTCCTAAATTGTCCAAGTTCAGCCCATTGGAATGCAGTCAAGCGAATAATTAAATTCCTAATAGGAACACAAAATCATAGCATTGAGTTTGACAAAAAGGGATACGCAAACCTTTGTGGAGCAAAGCGAAAGAAATAAAATAGGTAAGCAAAAAAACTGAAGAGAGGAACTTGACCCGGACGCGTAAAACCAAACCCCTGTGTAGTACAGAGCGCGCGGTCCAGAAGATGCACTGTATCACTCGGGGTTTTGTTTTTGATTACGCCGGGTCGCGTCGAACAAACCCCTGTGTATTACAGAGCGCGCGCGGTCCAGAAGATGCTCTGTATCACTCGGGGCTTTGTTTATGATTATGGTGCGTCGCATAGCACAAATCCCAGTGTGATACGGAGCATGCATGCATATTTTTCACCTTTTACGCAGAAGAGGGGTTGCTATATAGTCTGATTTTTCGCTGAGCGCATATTTGACTCTGAAAACTTTTTTCTTTCTCATCAACAATTGTCACTTTAAAATTTTGACAATAACTCGCACGTAATATACTAATATTGTAATAACTCTATGTTTATTGAAAAAGAAATACAGAATATTATGATTTAATGCAATTTTGCGTTTCGAAGCTTATTTTACACGTTTAAAGAAATGGAATTGCTAATAAATATCTAACAATAATTGGTTACATCTCCTAAGAGCTTACACTGCAATAAAATAGTTAACTGTTCGTCATTATCTATAGTTATTTCGTGAATATTGACGTCTTCACACGAACGTTCTAATAAATATTTTAGCATTGCTTCATCCATTGTGAATTATTATTTATAAAATCAGAAATCAGCAGAAAAGAAAAATGTCTAACCTCTTCAAACTGTTACGTGAACAATACGAGTGATTCTATTCAATGTCAATAGTAAAGAAATTAGAGGTTGCTCTGTATCGCACTGGAATTTAATCAAAAACAAAGCCCCGCGTGATACAGAGGATCTTCCAGTGTTGCCAGAGAGCAAAAATTTTTTGTACCAAAGTTAAAGACAAATTGTACCAGATTCAGTGAAAATGTACCAGCTTATAATGCGCATGCGTTTCCTTTGATCAAAATGCACGTTTTGTTTTGATTTGATGAAAAGTGAAAACCTAAGGGCCGATTT